GATTTTTCTCCACATACCTTTTCCTTTGCTAATTATACCTTTTCACTAGAATAAGCCATAACCATATGCTGAATCCTCTGAGTTCTCTGAGCAAATCATCAAACTTGGGAGTGGCCTTAGAAATCTCCAATTCAGTAAAAAAAATCACCATCAGAGTTAGGGGGGGAAAAAAAGATTTCAATGCAGAAATATCATTGGAATCGTAGGTATGAAATATAAAATTGTTCCATGTAAAATGATTAAAGAATAATAATGTAAAATGATTAAAGAATCACACATTTGAGGAAGAAGCAAGAAATCATCAAGGAAAAATGGGCATATTCGAAAAATAACCAAATAGAATTCTTAAAAATGAAAAAGTATGAAGATATCATGGCTCAGAAATTTTGAGTTAAGAAGATATGTGATTCCAAACACTTGGCAAGCATAATATGTACTGAACAATTAAAAGAAAAAGACTAGCCATATTTTAGTGAAATAGCAGATTACAAAAGGTAGAACGATCTTAAAATCAGCCAAAGAGAAAGGCAGATCACTAATTCTGAAATAATAATGAGATAGATAGAAGAGTTTCTAATAGCAATAACAGAAACAATATACAATAATAACAATGTACAATAATAACCTCAATGTGCAAAGAGAAAATAACTATCAGTTCAGAATTCAGACCTGAAAAAAATAATGTTTATGTGAATCTTAAATAAATATTGTTTGTATAAAATGTTAATAGTCTATGGGGTTATAGTAGGATAAAACCATTACACCACGATGCCACAGAAGTTGTGTTAATGTAGTTAAAGTACATTAAAGTCACTGAATTCTTTGGCAGGAAGTCGAGATGTTTAACTTAAATCTTTGATAAGTTAAATAAGCATGGTAAAATTTAAGACTAACAACAGAAGACAAAAAAAAGTAAAATAAAATTCTAAGCCATCAATGGGGGAATTATGAAATAGGCAAAGAAACACAAAACTAGGAAAAAAGATGGGAGGGGTGACTTAAAAAAAAAAAAGGAAGCATAGAACAAGTAGATTAAGTAGAAATACAAGCATATGCTCGTAGGAACACATTTAATATAATCATAATGAATATTAATAGATTAAATTAATCTATTAGGTAAGAAGGAAATCACCAGTGACAATATAAGGTAAAATTCAGGTATGTTATTTACAAGGGATATTCCTAAAAGGACACAGAAATTAAAGAATATATATGTGTACGAGGCAACTATTAACCAAAGAAACATGGAAAGGCCAAGACAAATATATATTTAGAAATTAAAAGAATCCCTATGAAATGGTGACCATTACACTTACCAGGAAGATAAAAAAATTCCAAGTTTGTATGCCTCTAGTGAAATAGCCTCAAAATACAATACAGGGCAAAACTGGACATAATTTAGCAATCAGAAAATGTTATTTTAAACACTGTAATCCTAACTTGATAGCTTGTCCCTTGTTTAAGGGTGTTTTACTATTCTATGAAATGTTATTTTTACATAGAAGATCTGATTTTTCAAGAACAAATTAAGGAGGTATCAGTATATTGATTAATAATATATACATATGTAAAACAGTTTAAAAAGGGAAAAGGTAATTTAGGCCAACACTCTTAAGGATAAACTTTAAAATCTGTATGAAATAGGGGAAAAAAAAATCATAAAGAGAGCTAACACTTGCTGGTAGTGTGTCTCAAAGGTAACCCATGATGATCTCTGCTTCCTAGTATTCACACCCTGGAGAGAAATTTTAAAATATTTCAATTAATAGAAATGAAAATAGAATATATCAAAATTTATGGGATGCAGTAAAAGTAGTGCATAAAACAAAATTTACAGCAAAATTAAATAAAAATACAAGAGAAATCTATAATCAATGATTTAAGTTTGTACTTTAGAAAATCAAAAAAGAAAAGCAAATTAAATCCAAAGTAAACAGAAGGAAAAAAATGAATAAAAATTAGAGCAGAAATCACTGAAATCGGAAACAAGAAATCAAAAAGAGAAAATCAACAAAACCAACAGCTGATTTTTTTTGAAAACAGACCAATAAAAACTGCTAGGGTAAGTTAATCATAGGGTGGGACTGGGCAGAAACATTGACAGTGGCACTGCGCACTAGAGGGGCCACTGACACAATCTGACAGCTAACTTGGCGTAGGGGCAGGGGCTTGAAAATAAGACACAGTGCAATCCTGCTTAAGGTCAGCAGGAGGACAGGAGAAACTGGAAGGGGCCAAGATGATGTCAGCTGCACTAACAGCCATACAGTTATCCATTACATCAACAGGCTAAAAAAAGAAAAATCACATAATCATTATTAATATCAATAGATACAGAAAAAGCGTTTGATAAAATCAAATACCCATTCATGATAAAAACTTTCAGCAATCTAGAAAGAGATTTCTCAATTTGATAAAGAATAGCCATAAAAAATCATACAGCAAACAGCATACCTAATAGAAGCTTTGTCATGTATGCTGAAAAAAAAACAACAAAAAAAAAACAATAAAAAACACTCCTGAAACAAATAACCAACAATAGCAACACTGATATATAAATATTGTTTTCCTATATAACCGCAAAGAACAAGTGGAATTTGAAATTAAAAACACAATACCATTTAAATGGGTGGTGGTTTACTTGCTTAGTGGTGTCCGACTCTTGAGACTCCATGGACTGTAGCCTGCCAGGCTCCTCTGTCCATGGGGTTTCCTAGGCAAGAGTACTGGAGTGGGTTGCCATTTCCTTCTCCAACCATTTACATCAGCCACACCCCGCCCAAAATGAAATGCTTATGTATAAATCTAACAATGTATGTACAAGGTCTATATGAGGAAAACTGAAAAACTCTAAATAATTAAATCAAGGAAGAGCTAAATAAATGGAGAATAAATGTTCTTGGAATAGGAAGACTCAATATTGTCAAGATGTCAGTTCTTCCCAATTTGATCTACAGATTCAATGCAATCCCAATCAAAACTCTAGCAAGTTTCCTTATGGATATTAACAAAGAGATTCTAAAGTTTACGTGAATTGGCAGAAAACCCAGGACAGTCAACACAATACTGAAGGAGAAGAAGAAAGTTGGAAGACTGACACTGCCTGACTTCAAGACTTACTATAAAGTGACAGTAATCAAGACAGCATGTATTGATGAAGGAAAAGCTAAATTGATTATTGGAACCAAACAGACAGCCCAGAAATAGACCACCCATAAATACAGTTAACAGATCTTTGAAAAAGGAGAAAAGATCTCTCTAAAGAAGCTACCAGATGTAAGTATATGAAAAGATTCTCTACACAATATATGTCAACAGGGAAATGCAAATAAAAAGAACAATGAGATATCACAACAAATCTACTAGAGGGGCCAAAATTTGGAACATGAACAACATCAAATGCTGACAAGGATATGGATCAACAGAAACTCTCATTCACTGCTGAAAAAAATGCAAACTAGTATAGTCACTATGAAAGACAGTTTGGCAGTTTCTTACAAAACTGAACATACTTTAACCATATAATACATCAATCATGCTCCTTGGTATTCAACTCTTTGAAGCTGAATACCACACAAAAACCTACTTACAGATGTTTAGAGCAGTTTTATTCATAATTGCCAAAATTTGAAAGCAATCAAGATGGCCTACAGTACATGAATGGATAAACCGTGGTACATCCACGGTTATTAGGCACTAAAAAGAAATGAGCTCTCAAGCCATGAAAAGACAGGAAGGTGGATGTTACAAGGTTAAATGCATATCACTAAGTGAAAGAAGCTAATCTGAAAGCCTAAACACTGTATAATCCCAACTATATGGGAGTATTCTAGAAAGGGCAAAATGATAGAGGCAGTGAAAAGATCAGTGGTTGCCAGGGGTTAGAAGTAGGAGAGAGATAAACAGGTGGAGCGCAGAGAATTTTTCAGGCAGTGAAAACACTCTTAAAGGAGCATAATGATGGATGTTTTTATACACTTATCTGAATCCCTAGAATGTGCAGCACTGAGAGTGAACTGTAATATATACTATGGACTTTGGGTGATTACTAGTGTGTCAATGTAGGCTCATTAAATGTAACAACAGTAACACTCTGGTGGTGGATGTTGATAGGGAGGCAGGCCATGCATGTGTGGGGTCAGGGGTTAAATGGGAAATCTCTGCACCTTCCCCTCAATTTTGCTGTGAATCCAAAACTATTTTAAAAATAAAGTCTTAATAAAAAAAAAAAGTCTATCAAAATATATAGAAAATATTGGGGAAAAGAATACTATATGATAATATCTTTAAGTAACCTATTAGATTTAGACTCAGAAATTCTGGGACCACATTTGTAATTGCTCATCATTAAGCAAGTCATACAATGAGGTCATGCTCTACATTGCTTATGTCTAGGAATCCAGCATGACACTCTGAACACCCAAAACAAAGATATTATGAAGAATCAAAGAAAATTTAAAAAGCCAAGTACAGCTCTAAAATGATGCAGTATTACCAGTGCCATAAAACAACTGGAAATCTTTTTTAGAATTTGAAACCTTTGGAATTTTTTCCCCCAAAGTTAATTACTAAGGTCTACTCTCATGTTTTCCCTTAATCCATTTTTATTAAGAAATCTGTTGCCTCACCAACAATATATTTGCTTAAAGAAAACAATTCTATAACTTTGAGAATTTAGTGTCATTTTATACTATACAAAGCCTATTTACATAGTTCTTCAGAATATATTTCCATTTTCCATCTATTATCCCAAGTGTGAAAATGATACCAAATAGATTAGATTTATAGGGAAGCATAAAAAGGAAAACAGTTCTACAATTTAATACATACAGTGCCATTAGTGGGTTTTTACAGTTTTCTTTTGAGGATAATCCACTGAATTTTTCTGTCAGTAACATTTCAGAGTGAAGCTGTCTTCAAGAGATTTCCACAGAGAACCAAGAGTTTAACAGTCCCGATGTTTTACAGGTGATGCCTGACAGTTCACGAGTAGCCGCAAATCATTTTCTTTCCCATTTTTTTGCCAAAGTCTTGGCCGATGAAGAGGAATCATGACTTTCACCACCACTGTATTGCTCATATAAAGTCTGAAATTAAAAACACACATCTGATTTGTAATATTTAAAATTCAACGTATATCAGATTAACAAAGGTTTAATTAACTTCACATCTTCTAATACGTAAGACATTTCTCTATTGTTCTTATAATTACAAATTATTTTATACACTGTTGGAGATAATTAAAGGTTTTAAACACCTAGCTTGGCCTAAGAATCAGCTATCATGAGATGCAGCTCAATCTTTCTGGAAGAAAAATGTAACACAGTTATTTTTAAGTGTATGGATACATCCTCAAGGTCGCCTTAATCTCCCTTACTTTTTCTTTTATAGCTGATGTATAGTATTACATAGCAAAACTTTTTAACTGAAGTAATATAAAGTTGATTTATAATATTGTGTTAGTTTCTGGCATATAGCAAAGTGATTCAGATATATTTGTATCTGTCTGTTCCTCTATATATTCTTTTTCATTATGTTATTACAAGATACCTTATTTTTTCTCAAATAAAGCCAGTCTTAGATAAAGTCCTATACTGTAAAATAAAATCAACAGGAAATATACTTTCAGTTGATATTTAAACTAAAGAATGGAAGACATTAAAAAATACAACCGCTATATAAGTAAATCTAATTAATATACTAAAATCTACATATTTGGTAAAAGATTTAAGGCTAAGCCAACATCTAATTTATGAAGACAGAAGATATCTTTGCCATCAAGGAACATATAACCTTAGCGATAAAGGTAATCCACCTTATTTTATTCATAAAAGGCTTTAAACAATACACTGGTAGAATTAGAGAAATGAAATACAGAGAAAAATTACATAACAAATTTTGGTCCAATTTCAATTCCCAAAGCCATTGATTTAGCTGTCAGCACTAGAGAAAATTTAAGAAAAAAATTTACCTTATATAAATGCAAATATAATGGTAAATATGTAGTAAATTCTTCAAGAAATGTATTCAAGTTCTAAACATCTTAGATTGGTGTTATCCCTATCCAGAGAGCTAAGAGTGTTTTTTAGTTTAAGTTACTGTAATTTTACAATAATGTTATAACTGAAATCTAAAATTAGTAAATAAAGTCAATTAAGTATAGTGTTCTAAAAATGATTATGTGTTTAATGTTAGTGAGATCCAAAAAATTATGGTATAAACAGCCACTGGGAGACTAACAAGTTTGAGAAAAGTACTGACTGCCATATACAGTTACACAGAAGTCATTATATGTGACAAATACTGTGATTTTGTCTAAGATGGTTTAAAAATAAAACTGGCTATAAGAAATAAATTCAAAAGCTTTGTTAAAAATGGGGTTGATTTAAAAGATTCTTTACTAAATTTATTCTGGTTGAGACCTACCTGACAGCAATCTTTTCAATGCACCTTATATGACAATCCATTTTCTTTTTTTTTTTTCATTTATTTTTATTAGTTGGAGGCTAATTACTTTACAATATTGTAGTGGTTTCTGCCATACATTGACATGAATCAGCCATGGATTTACATGTGTTCCCCATCCCGATCCCCCCTCCCACCTCCCTCCCCATGACAATCCATTTTCAATTGTGCTGTCTTGTCTGGCCAATAAGAGTGTAAATCAAATAAATCTGTATTTGTTAAAAACCACATATTAAGTATCTAAATACAGAAACACACTTCATAGCTGATCTAATGACTGGGCCAATTTTCCTTTGGTTTACCTGTTTAAGTGCCTAACTCACTAAACTATATAAAACAATTAAAATTAGTGTAGACAGAGCATAGACATACTCACTTTAGCAGCTTTCAAAATGGAATTAGGAGAATTCAGGCCAACAAGTTGGCCCAGAACATATTTCATTTCTTCAGCAGTTCCCGTAGCCGTCTGGTTACCTATAAAATAATTTGGTTTTCTTGTTCAGTTACTAAGTTGTGTCTGCCTCATGTCTGACCTCATTGACTCTAGGCCGCCAGGCTCCTCTTTCATGGGATCTCCCACACCAGAATACTGGAGTGGGTTGCCATTTCTTCCTCCAGAGGATTTTTCCAACCTAGGGGTTGAACCCACATCTCCTGCTTGGCAGGCAGATTCTTTACCACTGGGCCAGCTATGAAGCCCAGGTGTAAAATAATATACAGAATTAATAGCACACTGGTATCAAGTAAGAAAAATAGAAGTTCATATATAAATGTGTATTCTGCTTAAAAGCACAATAACTACATTCTTATCATTTATCACTGATCATAGTCCCTTTCCTAGGGTAAGTAAAAATGAATGCTGGCAAGTAAAGGAAGTCAATCTCATTTATTTTAGTATTTAGCATTAAGGAACTTCCTTAAGGAAGGAGGCATGCAGGAAAAGAGTAGTCAGAAGGTTGTTGATATTACCAATCGGGTAATAAGTTTATTCTTAAAGAAGTACCTGGATGAGTTTGAAGCTGAACATACGGATGTGCCAGCAGCTCAGGAATGGATATTCTCTGTTTAGGATCCCTTATTAAACAACGCTATAAACATAAAGGTTAAGTTTTTAAAACAAAAGCAAAACAAGTTTCCTTATGCAATATTGATAAAGTATTTTTCCAGATTGCATCATATTATAGAAGCTGTTTCTAGAGTGCCTACTCAGAAATGACAAGATGATTTTACACATCATTTCTTCAAAATCTCCAAGTATTCATATGTTTTAAAACCCTTCAAAATGAACTTTCAATAGACAAGCTTCATCCACTCCAGATATATAATTCCAATCATTTCAACTATTTCTCTTTCTTTCATTTTCTGGCCATGCCATGCGGCTTGCAGGATCTTAGTTCCCTGGCCATCGATTGAAGCTAAGCCACAGCAGTGAAACTGCTGAGTCTTAACCACTAGACCACTAGAGAATTCCCTCAGCTATTTCTTTAAGTAAACAGTTAAGTACTATATGAAATATAATTCTTCTATATTTATATACTATTAATGTTACCTTTAATACATCTTGAAGATCTTTCTCTGGAATATCAGGAAATTCAATTTCATGATTAGGGTCAATTATGGCATGTAATTTAGAAATCTGATTAATTATATGCTGAAATGGTGTTTTCCCGTAAGTCATATAGTACAAAATGCAACCTAAGGACCAAACATCACTTTTTGGGCTTATCTAAGTTAAAAAAAAAAAAAAGAAGTTACTGTTATTTTACTATAAAATTAAAATATTATACACACACACACATTTACCCTCATATTTAAAATCTTAATTAAACCTCATTACGCGTCTCAAGTATTAAATAATGTTCATTACAAAACATCCTTTTCTAGTTTTTATTACATCTGGCTATTTTATCAAAAGAAATGAGCTCCACTCTAAATCTTTCAACAAACTCATAATTAAAATAGATCGACTGAAACAAAATATTATATTCTTGTTGGTCTGTGAAAATACAAAGCTAAAAATCATAACTGCAAGTATGAAAATTACTGGATTAAAACACATTTTTTAAAATAAATTCATAATATGTAAATACATATAGATTAAAAAAAGGTTAAGCTGAGCTAACCTAAAACTAAGAACATAAACTATAGAGCCAGACTGGGCTGGGCTTGAGTCCCTGCCTTAGTACTAGCTGGTAGTTCTCCTTATCTGTTTCCTAACTTCCAAAACAGAAATAATAAAAGGACACTGTCATGGACATTAAATAACTATGAGATATGGGTAAACATAGAGAATAGTTTCTGGTTCTCAGTAAATATTATTTATTATTAAATGTTCTTTGCATTAAATAACCTCATTAGAAGTAATGAAATATTACAACATAATTCTACTTTTGACTTTAAAAAAACATGATTAAGACCAAGCACAGCAGTGAGTATAGTAAATAAGAATGGCTAAACTCCTCTTTTAAAAGATACATACTCAATATACAGTATAATAAAAGTAACCATATGTTCTATACAAAGGATTAATCTAAACCAAATGACACAGAAAGCTAGAGGGGGAAAAAAATGGACACATATAACCAAATGCAAAAAAGGGAAAGAAGAGACAATAATACTAATATTAGAAAAAGAGAACACAGCAAAATGCTCCTAACAGAAGAAAGTCATTTCATTGTGATAAAAGGTATAATCAACTAAGACATGTTATGAATTTTTATGCACTGAAATTACATTTAATAGAACTATATTAAGCAACTATATTAAATTCTTTGAAGTGGGGGCAGATTTTAACATGCCCTTCAGAACATGAGAGAGAAAATAGATCCCATTATCTGAACACAAAGAAAACTGCAAATGAATAATAATAATAAAAAATAACCTTTTCCTCCAATTTAATCACTTGGAAATTTAAGTCCATTTCTAAACCTAAATCATAGATTAAAAAGAATTTCAGATTCTGGGAAAATGGCAGTGTTACGGCAGCATAGTTTTTCAAACTCTCTAAATCCCCAGATAAGTTAGACAGAGCTGCCTGGTAGCAAACATAAACATAAGGAAAATATTTACAGTAAAACCTGAATGTGAATGGAGACAAACCACCAACAGCCACAAGTCCTGCATGGTAGAGGCATTTGACACAGAGAGAAGTAATCAGTGTGCCTGACAGACCTCAGAACAGAAGCCCCAAGTGGTCATTAGCTGCTCACTGGAAAGCAGTTCCTGAACAGAGCTAGTCTGGGAGGGGCCTTGAGCTCTTCTACACCAACGGTGAGCTTACATGTTGGGATAAAATTATCTTCTATGCAGAATCCCTAAGGCCACTGCAGAGCAGGTGATGCAATGGAATTGATATTTCCCAATATTACATATTAAAATACTGAGTTGACAACTGAAAAAGATCTGAACATTACATGCAGCTCAAACCCAATTTTATTTTAAAGAAAAAAAATAAAAATTTTAAAACTGAAATCAGGAATTTTGGAAATTAAGTGAATTAAGTGAAAATAAGAAACACTATAGTAAAACTTATAAGTAGCAGCAACAGTAAAACTCAAAGTTTTACTTGAGTACAATTTTATACAGAAGGCTACTAAAATTAAAATAGCAATTATTTAAATGTGGAAGCAAGGGGAAAAAACCCTAAAGGGAATACAAATGACAAAGATAAGAGCAGAAATTAATTAGAGAGCAAATGAAAATATAGTAAGTGAAATCTAGACCTGGTTCTTTATTTTTTTAATTTATTTTTAATTGGAAGATAATTACTTTACAATACTGTGTTAGGTTTTGCTGTACAACAATGTGAATCGGCTATAACTACACATACATGCTCTCTCCTTCTAGGGCTTCCCTCCCACCTCTACCCAAGACCTGACTCTTGAAAATTAACAAAACCATGGCAAGTTTAATCAAGAAAAAACAGCAGACAAATCTAAGTGTTAAAAGAAAAGGAGAAACTAAAGAGATTTTTTTTTTAAGTAATTTCTTGATAGATAAAAATTTCTTAGGTTTTTTTTTTTAATATGAATTTTTTTTTAATTTTTTTTATTTTTATTTTTTTATTAGTTGGAGGCTAATTACTTTACATCATTGCAGTGGTTTTTGTCATACATTGAAATGAATTAGCCATGGATTTACATGTATTCCCCATCCCGGTCCCCCCTCCCACCTCCCTCTCCACCCAATCCCTCTGGGTCTTCCCAGTGCACCAGGCCCGAGCACTTGTCTCATGCACCCAACCTGGGCTGGTGATCTGTTTCACCCTAGATAATATACGTGTTTCGATGCTGTTTTCTTGAAACATCCCACCCTCGCCTTCTCCCAGAGTCCACAAGTCTGTTCTATACATCGGAGTCTCTTTTTCTGTTTTGCATATAGGGTTGAAACTAAAGAGATTTAAGAAGAGGTTTTATAAGAGAAACTGTTAGGCATAATTATATGTCAGTTATTTGAAAAGATATTTAGAAGTCACAATTTTCTAGGGAGGAAAATATAATTTAGCAAGTGAAAGCATATTTATTAAGCAACTGTTTTCAGATGAACAATGTACTAAATGCTTTATATTCTTTCTCATTTAATCCTCAATTACTTTTAAAATAGGTACTATTCATAAGCCTAACCGATAGACAAAGAAACTGATAGACATAGTCAAGTCACAAAGACAGCTGATAATGAGGCAGACGTGTGCCTTGAACACAGGGACCACACAGCGATGTATGCTGGTGTCCATTAGGCTGCCCAGCTGTGGAGGAAGAAGGATGGGTCTGGAGCCAGAGGCATCACGGCAGGCAGAGCTGACTCAGCAAAGGGCACCAGTGAGACTGACATGAGGGCTCAGAGAGGCAGTGAAATAAGGGAAGTGGGAAAGTGCCTGGAAAAAATTACCTGCTAGAGTTGTACTTAGAAATGTAAAATTTACAAATGAAGAAACGGTAAGAAATAAAACATTAAGCGTCAGAGAGAAAACAAACAAAAAAGACTTCTAAGGTTATCAGTTCAGTGTTAATTAAGATGTCCATATCAGAGTTAATTTAGTCTTATTTTTAAAACTAAAAACATATCCAATGTGCATTTCTTATAGGAGCACACTGTAAGGCACTACCACATTAAAAGCACAATATTAAAAGAGCAATCTCAAATCAATAAAGAAGGGTAAAATTGAATCCCAGGACAGTCTACTTAAAAAGGCAAGGTCTCTATAATGGCCTAATTTTAGAACTTAAAGAAATAAATTTTCAGTTATCTGTTAATTTCATCAGAGACTAGCCCATTTCCTATTTGTGCCAAATAAATGGGATATAAATAATCTTAAAGTACCTTTGATTTGGACTTCCCATTTTCTCTTGAAGTAGACATATCTTTGATTGCTTCTGGTGGCATATAATTAACTGTCCCAACCTACTTGCCAAATCACAGAAAACACAGAAATCAATGAAAATACTTCATTCAGTCTGCTTGAGATTTTTAAAAACATGAATGCCAAATTCTTGACAACTTGAATAATTACAGATTTCAACAATATATTTGTGAAACTCAAATAACTGACAAAAACATTAAAACAAATTTCTTCACATTTCCAGCAAAATAAATTAGATTCATAAGCAAATAATTGCCTCCTTTCAGAATGCTGTGCAATTTCTATGATTATGGTGGGCAGGGACCATAACATTTCACAGGATGAAATTTATTAATGGCCATAAACTTTGAAGGAATTGATCAGTCACTCATTTCTGTGCTGGAATAGACCCAGAACACTTTTCAATATAAAATAACCAATTAACGAAAAATCTAGTTTGTCTCTAAGTGTTTCCCGGACCCATGTCCAAATAGAGACAGGATAGGTGTCTACATCATGCAAGAGTTTCTGCAGCAGGATTATGCCAACCTTACACTGCATTTGTTTTATTCTAAAATAATTCTGCTTTCAAATATAGAATGCCTATACTTTAGAGCCTTGCCATAGAAGTTATCGTCAAACTGATTTACAACTAAATGTTCAGCTGTATTTTTTATATAAAAAGAAGAGATTGTCAAACAGAACTGTTTGAAGGGCATGCTGCCCAGCTCCTCCTTAAAAAAAAAAAAAAAAATCCAGTTTTATTCCTAGGATTAAGGTAGATCCACATCAGAGATCTGCATACATGGAGCACACTGTCCTGGCTCTAAGCAGGATTATTTTTAGTCATTCTTTGATTGTCATCACCTTGGTTTTTATGGGAACAAGTTTATTAAGATTGCTGTTGCATATCTTATTATAAAAATGTGGTTGAGTACAATATTTGTTATGTTGTTTTCAATATGAAGGCTCACTTAAGAATTTTTTTCAAATATAAATGATAGGGAAAGCTTTACTTCTCTGGAAGAATGAAATAATCTTATCTCTTAAAGGACAATGAAAAACGTAAAACTGCAATTCTCTTTGGCTGCTACCAGGAAACTGAGACAAAGTTTTAGGTGACTTTTAGATAACAACCAAAATGATTTCAAGGCAGGTATTACTGCTTCTCTACCTCAGCTATATGAAAATCATTCAAAATTGCTGGATACATGTCTACTGGGTCTTGACTTTCTATACTAAATTGTATTAATTGTGTGACTGATTTATTTTTTTATGGTTATAATATCTATTCTTATAAAAAAGGTTTCAAATCCTTTGAAAAATGAAGTAGGGAAAAATAAAATCCTCATTAACAAATACTTCAAAGATGAAAAGGAATTGAACTCTACTGTGTAGTAACCAGCCATTCATTACCTGGGAGTCTTTAACAATACTTGTTGTATCTGGTTGCATTTGGTTTGCAATTCCAAAATCGATTAGCTTTAGCATTCCATCAACTATCAGAAAGTTAGCAGGTTTCAGATCACTGTGAACAATACCTTCAAAATAAAAATCCAGTATAACATCAGACAATGTCAAGCATTCTAAATACAAAGAAATTGCACAGTCTACTCATGAGTTGGTTCCTTTAGTCAAATTAAATATTCATTTTTAATATACTCTGTGAACATACAGCAAATTGCTACACGCTAGGCACTATTTTAAGTTTGCAGCTTGTATTGAACCATTCAACCTTCATACCAATGTTGAGGCAAGTACTATTATCATCCCCATTTTTAGTTGCAGAAGCTAAGGCAGAGTTTAAGCAATCTGTTCAAGGCTACACAGCCTAAGGAACAGGGTCATGAGTAGAACCAGGAAGTCTGACCTCAGAGTTTATGCTCTTAACAACCACTGTGCCTCTCTGACCACAAGACAGCACTGTAAGCTACGCTGCCATGTGGTAGGACTCTAATGCCCCTCACATACCCACCCCTAAGCCTGATCTTGATCACTGGTGAATTACCTTCTAACTTATAGGAAGAGAAACATAAGGAGATAATTTACAATTACCTACATTATCAATTATTTAAAACAAGGAAAAGGCAAAGAAGCACTAAAAAGAACCAAGTCTAAACTGTTGAAAAGTTGGAAGGAAATTCAGGATTCTAAGAGGAAGGAGAAATGGATTAGGGGTCGCGGGTAGAGGCTGGGATGCAAAAACAAGAGACAACTGCTCTGTACAGTATATAAGGCCAAGATAGAATTAAAGAGTTTTAAATTTTAAAAAAAGCAAAACAAAAAAGAACCAAGTCCAAGTAAAAAGCCAACCCAGAATATAGAGCTAGTAGTTAAAAAAAAAAAAAACTCTCATACAAGGTGCACAATACAAAACAACTAGAATGAGTAAAATAAACATTTAAGATTTTTAGGATGCCTGAACCTTAGTCTCAGATCGGCTGTAATTCAAATATTTGGAGACCCAGGACTATGGACTATGTTATTACTGATAATGAAACATTTTGTGTTATGGGTGCTTCATGAATGTGGGGATTTGAGTTCATGCCCTGTATTCTTTTGTTAACAGTATTTTAAAGAAATGGTTTTGTCTCTTCATCTTTATTAAACTGCCAAATATTTAGTTTATTTAGCCTAAAGCTGCCAATAACCAATACCTTAAAATTATAAGTGTGTTTCTCTAAGCTGGCACTGCTAACGAATATTTTAACATTATATGTAAAGAGATTTTATTTTATTTTAATTTTTTTTTTCTTTTTGTGAAGAAATTTTAAAATACCGTGTTGATGAATTGTGTAAACTGCCTCCAACATATTTTTCCAGTAACTCTTCCGTTCCCATGGACTGATGGATTTTTTCTTTTTAAGCCAAGTATTCAGATCAATATTTCCGCACTCCATTACCATGTAGATGTACTGATCTGTGATTTCACTGCCATTAAAAATAAATGAAAACAAAACAATAAATGGTTAAGTTATACTACCAAGATTTAAGTGTTTATCATAAGAATTAAAGCAAAACAAAAAGTTTTCTTTTAAACTGAAAAATTCTTACTAATCATAAAGTCGGATGATCTTATCACTATGTTGTTGTAGTTTATTCAGATAAGCAATTTCATTCCGGTAACTATCAACTGTTTGGCTATCTGCTTCTTCTAAGTTCACATACTTTATAGCATGTATTTGTTTCTTTTCATTCAACACCTGAAATACCTATACAGCAAAACAAAGGAAAAAGTTTAGAATACACTATTTATATATTGTCACAATACTTCTACATTAGACAGACACTTAAGGATTATTGATGTGAATAATTTAAAATATTTGGCCTTATTTTGAGTATAAAAGGGGAAAAAAAATGTTAGGAGCATAACAGTACATTCTCAACTACCTATGACAATGGGTATTCAATTACTCCAATGCATAAATCTAATAAAATATCTATCAACATATAAGGTAATTTAAATTTCATAAACATTCATAACACTGTTAGATGTCATAACCAGGGAAATAATCTGAAGAAAAAGACATTAAAAAATGCCAAGGAACACTAAGGGCTGAATAAGGGAATAAAAAGTAATTCATTTCACAGATGGTATTGATTCCACTATGACTGGAGTTGACAATTTCATCCATGTGGTAGACAATATTTAAAAATAAGTGCTAATTGTAAGCTATCAGTGTATTTGGTTGTGAAAAGTAGACTGAGTTTCAATTTTCAAAATCAAGTTGACAAGAACAAGATGCTGCTATAAGCATGGTGAGGTGCAGGCCAAACCGCTCTGGCTACCGTGACAGTCGATTTCTAATCAATGCTGATAAGGCAGACAATATTAATACATTTGGAAAAACACTGGTAATGTGTCTAACTTTCAGCAATGTGCAACTGGGATGGGGCTTCTAAAATGTATAAATTCAGATACAGAATACCAGTGTAAGCAATAAATATTAACATCTCTTTTAACATTAAAGAAAACATCATTTATTCAAAAGCCATTTAATCTTGACTATCCACAAATTAGAACTGGACATGGAACAAAAGATTGGTTCCTAATCAGGAAAGGAGTACTTCAAGGCTGTATATTGTCACCCTGCTTATTTAACTTATATGCAGAGTACATCATGAGAAATGCTTGGATGGATGAAGCACAAGCTGGAATCAAGACTGCCGGGAGAAATATCAATAACCTCAGATATGCAGATGCTGCTGCTGCTGCTAAGTCGCTTCAGCCGTGTCCGACTCTGTGCGACCCCATAGACAGCAGCCCACCAGGCTCCTCTGTCCACGGGATTCTGTAGGCAAGAATACTGGAGTGGGTTGCCATTTCCGTCTCCCGATATGCATATGACACCACCCTAATGGCAGAAAGCGAAGAAGAACTAAAGAGCCTCTTGATGAAAGTGAAAGAGAGTGAAAAAATTGGCTTAAAACTCAACATTCAGAAAACTAAGCTCATGCCATATGGTCCCATCACTTCATGGCAAATAGGGAAACAGTGGAAACAGTGACAGACTATTTTTGGGGGCTTCAAAATCACTGCAGATGGTGACCACAGCCATGAAATTAAAAGATGCTCGCTTGGAAGAAAAGTTATGACCAACCTAGACAGCATATTAAAAAGCAGAGACATTACTTTGCCAACAAAGGTCCGTCTAGTCAAAGCTATGGTTTTTCCAGTGGTCATGTATAGATGTGAGAATTGAACTATAAAGAAAGCTGAGTGCCAAAGAATTGATGCTTTTGAACTGTGGTGCTGGAGAACTCTTGAGAGTCCCTTGGACTGCAAGGAGATCCAACCAGTCCATCCTAAAGGAGATCAATCCTGGGTGTTCCTTGGAAAGACTGATGCTGAGGCTGAAACTCCAATACTTTGGCCACCTCATGCAAAGAACTGACTCACTGGAAAAGACCCTGATGCTGGGAAAGATTGAAGGCAGGAGGAGAAGGGGATGACGGAGGATGAGATGGTTGGATGGCATCACTGACTCAATGGACATGAGCTTGAGTAAACTCCGGGAGTTGGTGATGGACAGGGAGGCCTGGTGTGCTGCAGTCCATGGGGTTGCAAAGAGTTGGACACAACTGAGCGACTGAACTGAACTGAACTGATCCAGCAAATAGTGGCAAGAAATAAGAAAAGAGCCCAAGAGTAAATGAGATTTATGTATTGAAACTGCACTGAAAGCAGAGTCTATCAAGTTGTCGGCTACAGCCAATAATCTGTACTTTAAAAACAAAACTCTAACAAAGTATTGTTGGTTTACTTGCACAGAAAGCAAATTAGAGGGGGAGGAACATAAAACAGTGATAGGGAAAGAGGCAGCAGACAACAGCAAGGAAGGAAAGAAAAGCAATTTTAAAACAGCACAAGGCTATTTGGCATGAGGTAAACAGCCTTATGGGCTTCCCTGGTGGCTCAGTTGTAAAGAATCTGCCTGCTAATGCAGGAAAAGCAGGTTCCATCCCTGAGCTGGGAAGAGCCCCTGAAGAAGGAAATGGCAACCCACTCCAGTATTCTGGCCTGGGAAATCCCATGGATAGAGGAGCCTGCGGGGCTAAAGTCCATGAGGTCCAAAAGAGTCAGACACAACTTAGCAACTAAACAACACCAAACAACCTTACACCTCTCAGAGAATTTAGTGTATCTACTATTCTGTTTCAATACAATTAGAATGTTAGGAGCACCTTCTGCACAGGGCTGGAAGGATGCTGAGATGACATGTTTGTGTGTAGCAAACATTAGCTACCATTATTAGAGGCAATTAGGACAGAATAAAGTGGACATTTCAAAACATATTACCATTGTCAGGTATATCAGAAAAAAAGATCTGCAGGATATTAAAACAAAGATCTCAAAATTTTTGAGCAAGTGCAACTTCTAAATCAGCTTTTTCCATGTATGTGCTTGTCCTCCCCTAATGTCCCTGCTCTGGCAATAACTGACAAAAAGGATTAGGGAACATTTACTTCCAGTTAGAGACAGTGTCAGAGTTATAATTTTTCAGTTTCATGCAAAGTTAATGAAAGAAATAGAAAGGTCAATGTCTTTAACCATTTCTACTAGCCCCATGAATCTTCTAAAATGTTCTTAATACTGTCTAAGTTGGTCACTGTCTAAACTCCAGCAGACAGAGCATGAACAATGTTAGGTTCATAAAGCATGTTACCCTTTTCCCTGAGGCATGCTGAATTTGGCAAGGCCATCATAATAATTAAATAATTTAATTGCACTAAGAAAATACAGGCTGGTCATAACTTTATCATTTGGCCCTTGACTTAAGTAAACTTACATCATCATTATCTTCCAAGGAAAATAATGTTTAAAACACTGTCAAGATTAAAATGAACCCAATATGGTTTATTGCATATATCATCCATAACAACTCAAAGCAGCGTAACAGCTGAGGAGGGTCAGCTTATTCATTTAACAAACAACTCAGTCACTGTTCTGTTCCAGGCACCGTTCTAGATAGTGGAGCAAACATCCCTACGTTGATGGAACTCACATTCAAGTGGAAGGGAACACAAAAAACAAAACCAAGTAAGTAACTTACAGAGCATATTAGATGAGCTAAGGAGAAAAATACAGCAGGAGAGAATATAGTATGCTGGGGACTGAAAGGCAAGAGCAATGGTTTTAGAATGTAGCCAAGGAAGGCCTGATCTAGAAGATACCTGAGCAAAGATGAGAGGGTATCTGGAGGAAACTACCCTTATGCTAAAGTAGACAAGGAGAGCAAGAGTCCGTGAGACAAGTTAGGAGGCGATTTTAAAAATTCAGGTGAAAAGATGAAGCTACTTTGGCCAAAGGGACAACAGTGGAGGTGATGAAGAAGAGTCAGATTCTGGACGGACTTTGAGGTGGAACCTGTTGATTAGCTGGATGAATGTGTGAGTATAAGCGGAGTCAGTGATGACCCAGGGTGTTTGGCCCAGTGATTGGAAGAAAGAAGCTGCCATTTACTGAAATGGGAGACTATGAAACAAGAGTTATGCTTGGGGCATATAAAGTTTTAAATATCTAGAGACACCCAAGAAGAAATGCTGAGCAGTCAAACTGGATACACAAGGCTGAAATTCAAGGGAGAAGTTTGAGCTGGAAATATAAATTTGGGAACTGTCAGCATATACATGGTGTGTAAAACCATGAGACTGGATGAGAGCACCAAGGGAGTGAGTGAGTCTAGAGACAGAAGAAAAGAGGTCAAAACTGAGCTCACAGGCCTTGCCCCGCTGAGGTTAGCACTATGAGGAAAACAGAACGGCCACTGGAGAAAAACACTGAGAGGCCACGAAGGAAAGAGAGCTTCGGTGAGCAAAGAATGATCAACTGTCCCATCTGCTGTGTAGCCCAGAATCAAAGGCAAGGATTATTTTTGGTAAAAATATTAGGTCATTAGTGATTTTTTTTTTTTTTTTTGGCCACACTGTGTGGCATCTTAGTTCCCCAACCAATGATCAAAACCAAGCCTCCCAAAGTAGAAGCATACACTCTTTGTCTTTTTAAAATTTATTTTTTAATTGAAGGATTTACAGAATTTTGTTGTTTTCTGTCAAATGAAACATGCACTCTTAACCACTGGACTCTCAGGGAAGTCCTAGTGATTTTGAAAACAATTGTTTTGAAGAGCAAAGAAGGTAAAAACAAAAATCTGTTTTAAGTGGATTGAAGAGAACAGAATGAGAAGTACTGAAGTTGGAAGCTCTTTTGAGATGCCTTCTATCCAGAGAACTAGAACTGGATGGATTTAGAACTCAGAGAAATGTCAGAAATGATCTACTCCAATTCTAGAGAATCATTTGCTGCTAAACTCTGTTTTTTTGAAAAGAAAAACTCAAAACAAGACCCATTAATCAGAAACCTTGCTCAATCATACTTAGCACACTAACTACTTAATCACCATCGGCCTCACTTTCAGAAAGACTCTTTGGGGACGTCACAAAGCTTTCGTTTGCTATCCCCCAGTCAATGTTACTGTTATTTAGAGAAGAAATGCGGACTCATAGGCCACTGGAGGGGAAGAGCAGGGAATTGAGATTGAAAGAAATATGCCATGTATTAAGGGGAGGGGATGGGAGAAAGGGATAAGGATTTTTTGGCTCAAGGGAAATATGGGCCCCTAGAAATTAAGAAAAAAAGGCCCCAAAAGGTACACAAACAGAAGAAAGCTTAAAATATTTTTATTCATTTCTTAAAAATTTAAGAAACTTACCTTACTTGAACCTCCACTTCCTATCTGCTTCAATATGGAATATATTTTTCCTTTAACTGAAATGCATTCATTTGTTGAAGAGGATGCTGAAATCTAAATAATTAAAATAAGATAAAGCTTCAAACATTCATAGAACATGCCTGAGAAACTAACTTGCATTTAATACAGTGAAACATTTCCAATTTTGAAGTTATCTGAAATCTTAAGCAATCAGATGTCACATTTCAATATTTTACAGAAGCAATTTACATACTTTAGTCAAAGAAATAAATTTATTAAATTAATAAATAGGCAATAGTTCAAAGTCTCCTCGTCTAATTTATCTCAACTTGACATACATAAACAGAAAACTTAAGGGGGAAAAAACCCCACTTAATGTCCAACAGACAAATTCACAAGCAGTCACTTTTCATCTTTCTCATCTATTCTTTCTTACACAAACCTCTTAACTTACATACATACATACATAAACACACAACTTTATCATATTCTTTTTTCTCATTTAGCCTAACATTATAAAGGAAGCAGCATGCTAAGGTGCTAAGTGTTCCAGAGTCAATCAGACAAAGGCAGATTTCAGCAATGTCCCCTTTATGCTGGATAATATTCAATGAATTGCTAAGTTTGAACTTGAGCATCTTCCTCAGCAAACTCTCAATTGATGTACCATATTCAACTTGCATGCCTTCCCTTCCCTGACATGAGAGCCCTCTGTGGACCTATAAATGCTCAGAATAGTAAGTCATGAGGACTTACTCTGAGCTGAGCAGGAAGCTGGACACAGAGACCACCCGGTCAGCTGACTAACCAAGTTGAAACAAGGTCTGAATAAACCTCAGTTCAACTAAGTCATGCTTTAGATCCCAAATGGTAGACTCTTTCTCGGGTGCTCTCCTACTGTAGTGTAACTGGTACCCAGTGCGCGTGCTCAGTCATATCCGACCCTTTGTAACCTCTGGACTGTAGCCCACCAGGCTCCTCTGTCCATGGGATTTCTCAGGCAGAATACTGGAATGGGTTGCCATTTCCTCCTCCAGGGGAGCTTCCCAACCCAGGGATCGAACCCGGGTCTCCTGTGTCTCCTGCGTTGCAGGCAGATTCTTTACCTGCTGAGCCATCAGGGAAGTGCTGATATAAAAGATAAGGACTGTAACTTCTTTCACTTTTTAACCCTAAAAGTGTTAAAAAGACGCTGTTGGGCCATGAAGTATGTTTTCTGTAAGAAAGTGTTAGGCTTTGACATATGGACACCTTATTTTTCACTGAGTTGCCCTTTACTGCCGTTCCCCACTCTTCCTTCTGGGGCTTCCTCTCCTACAAAAATTTCTGAGAGCAAAGGAAGCAGTCCAATATGCTTTCCTCCTAGCTGCTGACTGTTTTTAGAATACAGTTACTCTGACCTATGTCTGACTCAACACCAGTATGAAGTTCAGTGTCCTACACTGAACAGGACACCCTGCAAATTGCTCAGTACACCCTCCTCACCCATGACCAGAGTAGATTTCTTCAAAATACAAGGAAGATTGCTTCACTCCCCTACTCCAGCTTGTCCCACAGCTTCCTAATTCCCTCGGAGCAAACCTAAAGAGCCCAGCAGAGCCCTGAGGACCGGCCTGCCCCTTGGTGAACTCTAGTCACACTCTGGCCTCCTTAGGTTTCCTCCTGACACCAGGCTCCTCTAGAAGGATCCTCGCTCCCTCACTTGGTCACGTCTGGCTTGCCTTTCAGGGTTCAGCTCAAACAAGGCCTGACATAAGCAACTCCTCAATGAATTTTCTTTGAATCAACATGATGGGCAAACCAGGTTATCTTTCTTTCTCTTTTTTGTAGTTTATTATACTGCTGAGTCAACCCTCAAAACACTATTACATCTTTTAGTATAATCTACTGTCAGCTAAACTTCTTGTTCCATTGCTTTTTAAATTGTGGTAAAATTTACATACCATAACATGTACCATCTTAACCATTTTTAAGTGTCCTATCCAGTGGCATTGAGTACATTCACATTGCTGTGCCAACATTACCACCATTCATCTCCAGGCCTTCTCCTCATCTCATAATGAAACCCTACACCCCTTAGAGATAACCTCCATTCCTCTTCCTATAGCCCCTGGTTACCATTGTTTTATTTTCTGTCAGCTAATTTTTTAATCTCTTGATTTGTTTAGTTCATTACTTTTTTTTTTTTGCTGTTTTTCTTAAACAATTGCTACCAACTTTTATTCTTTACCAAGCACCAGTTTCTGTAGTAAGAGTTACATATATATTAACTAAGTTAATCTTCACAGTCATCCTATGGTGTAGAGAGCTTTATTATCCCTATTTTACAGATGAGGAAATAGAGAATTTAATTAACTTGCAAAAAGGTCACATAGTTGGTAAGTAGTGAGGCCAAGAGTCAAGGCCAGGCAAACTCTCACCAAAGCCTATACTTTCTACCAATATTAAGTTGCTTCCCTGTTTCTGAGAAGCAGATAGTTATTAAAAATTAATTTTAGTATTGATGTCAAGAGAGTACCTAAATAATTATCTTCCAGGATGGCAATACAATCGCCTTACCAGCAAAAAAAGTTTTGAGGCAATGCAATCACCTCACCAGCAAAAAAAGGTTTTTTAAAAATAGATTCTAGTAGCATCTCATATTGCTATTCTAATATTCTTAAAAACTTATATATTACTTGTATATATATTAGTATATATACCTGTATATTAATTAGCTGATAAAATGAAGCTGCCCACTAACAATTGGTTTAAATAGTTAAGTGGAATGAAAAATAACCTAGATTACAAAAGAAATTTTATCTAGCTATTCAGACTAGATACTTTGGGCAAGTTAATGAAAAATACTTCATTAGTTTCTTCAGTAACTAACCTATCAAAGTCACGAGGCACCCTTATGAGAATATCAGAAAAGAGTCTGGCCTAATGGGACTAAGACTGAATAAGTTTTTAACACTGTTCTTAACAAATAAATCCTGCAAAAAGAAAATCTTTGCTCATACCGTATCATGTACCATCATAAATAAAGCTTATCAAACCTGCAAATTCTGAAGTGGAGTAACAGGTATTTGCTGCTGTTGCTGCTGGAAACAGGCAAGCTGGCTATATGGTGTTGACAACTGACAAGCAGGTGGAAAGTCATTCTTTACCACTGGAGTTCTAAAACTGGGGAAGATATATTTTTTAAAATTTAAAACATTAAAGCTTTAAAAACAAGATTCTGACTCAGATTTTGTGTGGTGAATATAAATGTGTTATATCAAATAGAACCCAAGTCAGTTTTCCTAATACATCTGAAATATTTACTTTAGATTCACCATCATCAGAAATTTCACTTTGGGAGAATTATTTCTGAAAGTAATTTTTGTCCCCAGATGAGAAGTCCTTATTAAAATAAAAATAATGTCATTTAAAAATACAGTTAAGAGTTATTTTATAAAATTTAGCCAAGACAAAGCTCAGTCTATCATAGATTTTGAGTGTTTTCTAACAATAATGTTCTATGACAACCTACTAGAAATATCTGAAAGCCAATTACATGAGAGTCTGACCTTTGAACACAAAGCTGTTCAGCTCACATTTGTGCTTTGCTTCTCTTATTGTCACTATTGTATCTTCAACACCAAGAATAGTGCTTGACACAAAGGAATTCTACAAATATTTGTTGAAAATAAATAACTTCATAAGAAATAACCATATCCTATTTTAGTTAGCAGTCATTCTTTAAAGTATTCTAAGTGTAATAAAATGAGGCAATAAATAGCAAAATTGTATTAAATAGCTTACTTATTTAATAGAATCGGTTATAAAACTCCAAGGCCAGTTCTAATTAGGATTTAAGATCACATTGTGAAAATGAAAACCAAAAGACATGAGCTTCAGTTAGCCTCTAAGACATTAAAACTATGTTAAAAATATAGCCGCTAGTTGAATGATATCACATGCCATATTCCCTCTTTCCTTTCTTAGAAATGCCATTGATTTGCTTTTCAACATCCCTTATGTTTTCTGTCAATCAGCACTGATCAGCTTCTTCACTCATTCCTCACTGGCAGCCACTCAGATCTTGAACAAGCCCAGAACTATGTGAGTTATGCCACCAACCTCTCTCACACTCTAATTAACACCTCCTTTGCTATAATATGCATCCACCCTTTATTTACTGTAAGAATGCTAATCTTTAAAGTCTCTCAATTACAGAGATATACAGGTGGCAGTGCTTGATTAACAAGAAGTTTTGCATACTTAAAGTATTTAAAGGTACTGCCTATAGACCTACAGGTATAAAAAGCATATACATAGAGTAGGTACAGATTATAATGACAGAGACTTTCATAACAATCCTGAAAAATATATTGTTGCTACCTTCCCTTCCTTTACAGATGAAAAAACTGATGCTAAGAAAAACAACACAAATTTAGAAAGTCTTTCAGGTAATAGAGCAGGATTCACCTCCAGATCTGTTTGCCCCAAAGCACAAATTGTACCAAGCTAAGAACCAAAAGGAATTACCAGCTCATGTAATCATCCAAGGCACTGTTGCTGGGTGTCTTACAAATAGATTTTGGGTCAATCCATTTAGGTGTTGATATTGGTGGTGACTGCTTGGAAACCAAAAAGGCAGGTTGTTCAAAAGTGGTGTGTTTCTGCTAGACCAAAATAAAAAACATCATAATTTCGGGTTTTTTAATTAGTCACCTGTTCAACAATTTCACAAATATTAAATTTCTAAAAGAAAATTAAAATATGAAATACGAAAACATGCTATAATAAGTAGATGTATGTATTATAGGCTTTCAATAACTTTTTAGTTAAAGCTCTTTTACTCTAAATTTTGAAGCTTGTTATACTTTCCTCAAAGAGATTGCAATTAGAAGGAAGGCACACAGCAGTGTTGAACAAAACAGGATCTAACTATCCTTTCTCTTTAGGGCTACTGTCACTAGCATTGGACTTGTATAATCTAGGTATTAATAAGTGTTCTGTGCTTCAGAAAACTAGTCTTTACAAATAGAATCATCCCCTACCTTTACATTCGAAGGGAAAATGATCAAGTACTAATTATTTAGCAACATTTGAAATGGCAAATACCTATCTAGTGTTCTTCTCCCTTGTAAAATACATACAGCTTACAGAATTTATCTCATACAAATTCCAAAGCAATGATGAATGACCGCTACAGCAGAGAATGGCAAAGTACAACCTGTAGGTTGAATCTGGTCTGTTGTTTATTTTTGTAAATAAAGTTTTATTGGAACATAGCAAAGACCATTTGCCTACATGTCTGTGGTTGTTTTCATGTAATAATGGCAATGTTCAAAAGATAAAACAGTGACCATCTGCCTCACAAAGATTTTACAGAAAATCTTGCCAACTTCTGCAAATCACATTTTGCTTGAACACTATTAGTAACTGATCGTTCACTACCTCTACTTTAATTTGAGGAGAGCTTTAGTTATTAGTAAGTATTAACTGATATCTAGATTAAATCAGCTTCTATAATTTCAACCCACTGGGTCCACATTATACTCTGGAGATCCACAATGGATAAATCTAAACTATTTTCTACTTTTCAGTCTTTTGTGTTTTTGGCCACTATACCTCTTTTCACAGATAAATTTTCCATTTAAGATTTCCTTATATATATACATATATATATACATGTATATACACACATATACATGTATATGTGTGTATATATATGTGTGTGTGTATATATATATATATAATCCAAATACACATATTTGGGTTAGTGCCAGAATGGTATTGAATAACTGTGGTAGCAAGATTATTTAGTAAGGAAAGTGGAAAGGTTATACTCATAGACCACAGATTTAGATGTTTGCATTTGAGATTTTGGAGATCACAATTGAGGACATAGGAATGGGTAGCTAAGGTGAAATTAAGAAAGTAGGCATGAAAGAGGAAGAAGTTATGAATTTGGAGGCCAGGTGTAGGACTAGTGATACATAGGGGTACAGAAGCTAACAAAAAATGATGACAGTTGTTGGGCTGAAGTTGAAAGAAGTGATCCAGAGCCTAACATTTTCAGAGAATGATGGGGAGTCACGGGGATGTTCAGAGGTGATGGCAACGAGCAACTGCAGGATAGCACATCCCAAAAGTAGGCATCTCAAAAGGGTAGGATTTTGGGACTTCCCCGGTGGCCCAGTGGCTGAGACTCCACGCTTCCACTGCACGGGACATAGGCTTGATCCCAGGTCAGGGAATTAAAATCTTGCATGCAGCACATGCCCCCAAAAGACTGGGTTTTTACAAGAAAAGAAATGCTCTGGACATAGCTAGGGGGAGCTTATAGCTATAAAGTAAGTGAAGCAAAGTGAAAGTGACTCAGTTGTGTCCGGCTATGCGACCCCATGGACTATATAGTCCATCGAATTCTCCAGGCCAGAATACTGGAGTGGGTAACCATTTCCTTCTCCAGGGGATCTTCCCAACCCAGGGATCGAACCCAGGTCTCCCGCGTTGCAGGCAGATGCTTTGTCAGCTGAGCCACCAGGGAAGCCCAAGAATCCTGGAGTGGGGAGCCTGTCCCTTCTCCAGGGCACCTTCCCGACCCAGGAATTGAACCGGGGCCTCCTGCATTGCAGGCGGATTCTTTACAAAGAGCTGCCTAGTCTTTTCTCTTTCACCTAAGTGCACTATTCTGTGGCTCTTAATGTATTCATGAGTGTGCAGTCATCACCACGATGTAATCCCAGAGCATGTTCGCTATTCTAAGAAGAAACTCTGTGTTAGCCATCGCCCCCAATCTCTGCTCCTCCTGGACTCTGGCCACCATCTGTCTGCTTTCTGTCTCTGTGGATCTGCTGATTCCAGGCATTTCTTACGAAAGAGATCACAAAATATATGGCCTTTTGTGACAGATTTTTATTGCTTACCATGCAGTAGCATTTATCAACACTTCACTACTTTTTAAAAAACTTTTTTCTTTTAAAACCAAAAACATTTTGCACTGGGGTACGGCTGATTAGCAATGTCCTGGTAGTTTCAGGTGAACAGCAAAGGAACTCAGTCATATACATACATGTATCCGTTCTCCCCCAAACCCCCATTCCATCCAGGATGACACATAATGTTGAGCAGAGTTCTATGTGCCATACAACAGGTCTTTGTTGGTTATCCATTTTACATGTAGCAGTGTATACATGACCTTCCCAAAGTTCACTAGTTTTTACTGTTGAATAATAAAATGAAATAAAATCAGAATACCACATTTTGTTTACTCACTCACCAGTTGATGGCTATTTGGGTTACTTCTATATTTTAACAATTATGATTAATGCTGCTATGAACATTCACATACAAGCTTTTTTGCAGATACATATTTTCTTGAGTATATACCTAGGAATAGAATTGTTGAATTATATAGTAACTGTTTGCTACACCTTCTGAGGAACTGCCATACCATTTTTCAACAGACTGTATCAGTTAAGCTACTCAGCAACAACGTATGAGGGTTCCAATTTATCCACATTTTCACCAACACTTAATATTGTCTCTTTTTAATTACAGCCATCTTGGTGTGGGTGAAATGGCACATTTCAAACCACAAACCTCATTGTGGTTTTAGTCTGAATCTCTCTAATGACAAATGAATAGTTTTAAGTCCTTTCACCATTCTATTAGCTTATAACTTTTAAAAAGAAAAATACAGGAGATGCTGATTGTCCATAATTCAACCTGTCAGGATTCTTCTCATTTAACATTTGTTACCCACTCCATTACTTAGATAAACAGTTCTCAACCAGCGACCCAGAAATAGCAGAAAGTTTGGGGGTTTCCCCAAGATACCTGCAGGGAGTCTGAGAGGTTAAAACTATTTTCATAATCATACTAAGACATTATTTGCCTTTTTCACTTTCATTCTTTCATGAATATAAACTAAAGTTTTCCCAAGGCATGTGATTAGTGAAACAGACTGGATGCAAAAGCAGATACAAGAAATATAGCCCTCTAATGCCAACCATTTAAAAAATTGTAAAGACTGTAAAACAAATGTCACTCCCCTCACTGTAATTAGTTTGTTTTGAAAAGTACTTATTTTTCAGAAGAAACACATCTCAACATAACAAAGCCACGTATGACAAGCACACAGCTAACATCATACTCAATGGTGAAAAGATGAAAACTTTTCCTCTGAAATCAGGAACAAGACAAGAATGCCCACTCCTGCCACTGTTACTTAAAATGGTATTGGAAATTCCACAGCAAGTAGACAAGAAGCTGAAATAAAAGGTATCAGAATTGAAAAGGAAAGAGTAAAACTGTCACTATTTGCAGATAACATATTATATGTAGAAATCCCTAAAGATGACACACACACACACACAAAAAAAAACCTGTTAGAAAAAATTAACAAATTCAGTAAAGTTGCAGGAAACAAAATCAATATACAAAAATCTGTTACATTTCTATACATTGATAACAAACTATCAGAAAGGGAAATTAAGAAAACAATCCCATCAAAAATAATAAAGTACCTAGGAACAAATTTAACCAAGTAAGTGAAACACTAGTATACTGAAAACTGTAAGACACTGATGTCTTCTTCTTAAACTGAAGAAGACACAAGTAAATGGAAAGATATTTTGTGCTCACTGATTGGAAGAATATTGTTAAAATGACCATATTACCCAAAGCAATCTATAGATATAATGCAATCCCTATCAAAATTCCTATGGCATTTTTCACAGAAATAGAACAATCTTAAAATTTGTATAGAATGACAAAAGTTTGGAATACCCAAAGCAATCTTGAGAAAGAAGAACAAAGCTGGAGGCACCACACTCCCTAATTTCAAACCATATTACAAAGCTACAGTATTCAAGACAATATGATATTTGCAAGAAACAGACATAGATCAATGGTCTTCAGAAAACTGGACAGCTGCTCGGAAAACAATGAAACTGGACTACTTTCTCACACTATACACAACAATTAACTCAAAATAAATTAAAGACTTGAATGTAAGACCTTAAAACATAAACCTTCTAGAAGAAAACTCGGGTGGTAAGCTCCTTAACATGGGTCTTGGCAATGAATTTTTGGATCAGACACCAAATGTAAAGACAAAAGCAAAGATAAACAAATAGGACTACATCAAACTAGAAAGCTGCACAGCAAAAGGAAACCATCAACGAAATAAAAAAGGCAATCTATGAAATGGGAGAAAATATTTGTAAACCACATATCCATTAAGAGATTAATCTCCAAAATACACAAGGAACTTTGACAACTCAACACCAAAAATCAAATAACCAACTTAAAAATGGACAAAAGACCTGATTAGATATTTCTCCATAGATGACATATAATAAATATCCAATGGATATGAAAAGAAGTTCAACATCACCAATCATCAGGGAAATGTAAATCAAAACCACAATGATGGATCACCTCATAACCGTCAGAATGCCTATTATCATAAACATAAGAAATAACAAGTGTTGCCAAGGATGTGGAGAAAATGAAAGTCTTGTGCAGCGTTGGTGAAAATGTATATTAGTGCAGCCACTGTGGAAAATAGTATGGAAGATCCTCAAAAAATTAAAAACAGAACTGCCATATGACCTAGCAATTCTACTTCTAGGTATTTATCCAAAGAAAAGGAAAACACTAACTTGAAAAGATGCCTGTACTCTCATGTTCATAGCAGCAGTATTTATGATAGCCAAGAAATAGAAACAATCTAAATATTCACTGATGGCTGAAAGGATAAAGAAAATGTGGTACATATATACAATGGACTATTATTCAGCCATAAAAGGTATGAAATCTTGCCATTTGTGACAACACAGATGGATCTTGAGGACATCATACTAAGTGAAATAGCCAGAGAAAAACAACTACTGCATTGTATCACTTATATGTAAAATCTAGAGGGGAAAAAAAGCAAAAGCCCAAGCTCACGGATAGTTTGGGGCTTGCCAAGGGGTGTGGGTGGCAGGAGTGGAGATGGGTGAAGAGGATCAAAGTACAAGCTTCCAGTTACAAAATAAATCAATCATTGGGACGTAATGCACAATGTGGTGACTATAATTAATAACACTATATTGCACATTTGCAAGATGCTAAGTGAGTAGATCTTAAAAATTCTCATCAGAAGAAAAAATGTGTAATTAGGTATGGTGATGAATGCTGACTAGACTTAATGTGGTGATCATTTAGCAATAGAGTTGATTCTTGAACAGCTCAGAGGTTAGGGGCACTAACTACCCACAAAGTAAAAAACCCACATATAATTTTACAAATGGAGCTCTGTATCCACTGCTCTACATCCTCAGAGTCAACCAACAGAAAGTCATGTAGTACTATAATACATATGTACTGAAAAAGAATCCATACATAAGTGGACCCACACAGTTCAAACCCATGTTGTGCAAGGGTCAACTGTATATACAAACATAGAATCATTATGTCATACACCTAAAACTAATATGTTATATATCAATTATACCTCAATAAAACAAAACACTTTTTTCATAAAAGTATTATTTACATGTAATATGCTTATTATTGATATTTTTAATAAAGTAGCAAATACTTTAAAAAATTATTGGTTTTACTTTCTAATATAGCAAATAGAGATCAACATAGCCTACATAAACCAAAGTTCTCTATGGGCTTCAATAATTAAGAATATAAGAGAGGATCCCAAAACTGATATATCTGAGAACTGCTGCGTGAGACTACAATCGAAAATTAATTGTAAGGAGAGTATGACCAAGAACTATATTCAGATGTATCTCTCTAACAGATCCTTTCTTCTGAAATACACCCCAGCCATGGGGAATGATCATTCAACTTGTTATGAATTCACATTATCTAGTCTGTATTTTTCTATTTTATCCATGAGGTTTCTGTTGCAATTACTTAGTTCTGCTCTTATAGTTCAAAAATAGGGAAAGACAGTAAGTAAATAAATGGACATAGCTCTGTTCCCAAAAAGTGTTGTTTACATTCAGACTGGGAATGAGATTTGGCTCCTAGACTATAGTTTGCTGACCTCTGCACCAGTCTACCAGCAATCTAGAAATACAACTGAAAGCAGAAAAGAATTCAGCTTGATATATACTGTTACTAAACTAAACCTATGATTGTTTAGATCATTCTTTTGTGAATTTAAAACACACACACACACACTTTTGAGCAAAAAGAAAACTACTCCACTAAAGAAATTAATACAAGAAGAACACATTTAGCATGATCATCACATTATGAAAAACTTGATGTGGAAAAGAAAGTTACCTCTGTATCAACTTTAGGGATTACCTCTGGAATCTGCCACTGACTGGAAGATACAGCAGGATTCTGGTTTGCACATTCAGACTTTCTCTTTGATTGCCATTGTTTCAGATCACTTTCTAGAACCTTTAGTTCTTGATGTTCTTTAGTTTCTGCAATTGCATTTATTGTTGTCATTAATGGGCAAGAATATTGGATAATAACAAAATTAAACCTAAACAACAGAACATGTTACAAACTGTATTAGCATTTTGCTCTTAAAAACAGAAATTAAAAGCTTTAACCAGCTACCGACAATTTGCTTTTAGCAAGTCAATTTTACAAAGCTGCAACAGCCATTTTCCTAGGTTGTTATCTAGAGCTTTATCAGAGACTATTCTCAGTTTAAATACTTCTGTTTTTTACCAGAAAACAAAGAAAGAAATATGCAAAAGTCCAAAAACATATATCATAAAGTCTCCTTAATAAAAGCCAGTTCACCACTTTTCATAGACCTAGTTTTTTTACAAAACTTTTACCTTAAGCTAGCCTGTAATTTACTATCTTAAGGGTCTCTGAACAAAAGAAATTCAACAATATTGACTATTTTATAAGTGTCACTATTCCATCCCTATCATGACAAATGCAAAAATTCTAAACAAAATATTTGAAAGTGATATACAAAAGGTACAATAAATTATGACCAAGCTGTATTTATTTCTAAATGTTAAGTTTGCCTAACACTGAAAGTTAATTTGGCATAATAATAAAAAAAGTTCGTGACTGACTTAATAAACACAGAAAAGTTATCTCATAAAATTTGACACCCAGTCACAAAAAAACTGTTAACCTCAATCTGTTTTGATATATGATAAAAAACAGCTTTAAGACTCTAAGCCAACAAGGGTAAAACAGTGAAAGTGTCTCGCTAAGGAATGAACAAAAATGCCACCTATCATTCTTTCTATTCACCGTTATTCTAGAGGTTATAAGTGCAACACAGCAAAGAAATTAAAGTAAAAGGAATGGAAGAAAAAAAATGTTATATTATTTTCAAACAACATGAAAGAATTCATAGGCAAATATTAGATGCAAACAGTGATTTTAGCAATCTCTATAAACAATAGTTAAAAATCATTTGTAGTTTTATATACTAGCAACAAAGAAGCAAAGGATAAATTTTGTTTTAAAGATCCCATCATTGTATTATCAAAAATATCAAATATTTAGGTATATCTCTAGCAAAAGAAATGCAAAATCTCTACACAGAAAACAATTTTTTCAATAATGTTTTAAAGACTACTTATATGAATGAAGGGGTATGCCAGGTTAGTGGACTAGAAAATTTATTTGTTAAGATGTCAACTTGTCCCACTAGAACTCAAACAAAATACCATTTAAAAAAAAACAGAAAAAGGAAACTTACGGATTCTAACATTTATATGGAAATTCAAAAGGCTTAGAAAAACTAAAATAGTCTCTAACAGAGAAGCAAGTTGGAAGATTTACACTGACAGGTATGAAGACTGACTTCAGTAATTAAGACAGAATTAGCACAAAGTCATAAACGGACTATGGAACAGAGAAGTATCCAAAAACCAGACATCACAAACAGACTCATCTAATTTACAACAATTCACTGAGGGGGAAAAAAGCATCTTTTCAATAAATGCTGCTGGAGTCTACTAGATATCTACATGGAGAAGAAAAAAATGAATCCTGACACTTCATCTTAACCATACATAAATATTAAATTCAAGTAGAATATAAGTCTAAATGTGAAAGGTAAAATGATACCTTCCAAAACATATGGAAATATCTTTATGATCTTGGAGTAGGAAGATTTGTTTAAAGACACAGAAAATACCCACCACAAAGGAAAAGACTGATAAATTAAAATGCATGATAATTTAAAATTTAATCAAATCTCCGCCACATAATGGGAGAAGTTACTTGTAACACATGTACCCAACAAAGGAACTGTATCTAGACCAAAAAATCATTGAGAAAAAAAAGGACAATCAATAGAAAAGTTGGCGATACTTGAACGAGCACTTGAGAAGATACCCAAATGGCCAATAAACACAAAGAGGCATTCAACATCATTAGACAACAGGAAAACGCAAATTAAAACCACAATGAACTATTACTTAGCAGAATCAGAATGTGTAACATTGAAAACCAACAATAAAATGATTGGGAAGAATATGGAGTAAGAGCTAATATAAGTGCTGGTCAAACACAACACTCTGGAAAACTGCTTGGTACTATCGATGAGCTGATTGTATACACATCCTGTGCACCTGACCACCCCACCCTGAATATACCTGACAGAAATGCATGTGAAAAAAATGATATTTCATTGGGCTGTATTCTTATGCTTTGGGTAGTTTTCTGACTGCAAATTTTACTACATAATAAAATACTATTAACATAGTGTGGGCACTCAGTAAGCATTCACTTAGCATTAAATTAGCTGCCAGATCAGTACTATAAACAAGCATTTTTGGTAAAGATGCTTTTTCAATCATATCAGTTTGTAATAGATGCCATGAAAATATAAAATAAAATCATTTCCCCCAAATATCAGGAAAAGGAATCTATAGCTGGCCATTTATATCCACAGGTTCTACAGAACTGACTATACTACATCATTTTATATAAAGGACTTGAGCATTCTATGATCTGAGAATCCATGGGGGATCCTGGAAACAATTCCCTGTGGGTATCAAGGAATGCTGATGGTCCCAATCAAAACAATGGCATCCCAGTTTTCAGGGTTTCCTGAGACATGGGACTTTCAGGGCTAAAACCTGTCTCATTCATTTATATGGTCTTAGAATATTCACCATAGTACACATATAATGGAAAAGCAAATGTCTGACAAAAGGGGAAACAGAATTGTCATATAAATACACTTTCATGTGCTTTCCCAAATATTTCTCAAGCCAACTGAGAAAATTGACTCAATGCCATTGAATTTTCCCTCTATTTTCCTCTTACACACCTTTAAGGTGAATCCTCTGCTATAGAATTTAATACTTTTCATATACTGTATACAATTTAACTGAAACACAAGATAAAGAGACCTACTCTTCCATGGCAATTGTTAGGGGGCTGGTCAACTTTCATAAGTAACAAAGTGGTTCTCTTAATTAAAGAGGTAGTCTATTTTGTCACTCTTACCTTCTAATTTTGTTAGAAAACTTGATTCACTTTTATTCTTCAGGGTAACTGAATCAGTAATAAGTTCAGAACTCTTCTCATCTGACATCACAGGTTCCTTGGAATGAATATTTTGAACAGACTACATAGAGTAAGATTTTATTTCGATTTGATATAAGACAAAGTCTTAAAAACAGAAGTAGTACTAATTTTAGTGTTCAATATACTACAGTCTCATCTATATGAAAAAATTGCTAGGAAAATTATCATAATTATATGTAGACTCACGAAATTCCAGCAAAAATAACTTCTTGAATTATTGACTAGAGCAATGGGAATGGCCATAATGATAGATTTGGCCAATTTGCTTTCAGTAGACATGTTATCAAATGATAAGACATATTCACTTAAAAAGAGAGGTTAGAAAGCTTAAATTCAACATAAAACATGCTTCACTATTTTGTTACTATGTTATTTTATCACCAAAAATAACAGCATTGGTCAAAATTAAGATCTGTAGAAGTCTAAGAGAGAACTTATTCTAAATCCCAAAAATAAACTCCTGACACAGCTATGTGCTATTCCCTAAGATAGCTGTAAATTAGATAAACTCATTATTTAAAAGGATACATCATGAGAGAGAGAAGAATTACAAAGAATGTAAAACTGAAAAGACCCACATTATGATGCCAAGGGTCTAATTCAATTTCAGTAAGAACAGTATAACCCCTAAAAATCAGTGCACCAGGGACTAAAACTACTTCCTGTCTTAGAAGTTCACATGTCTGCCATATCAGGACGTCAGGACTGATTATCTAAGCCCTCACCTCTGCCGCACCACAAAGACACCCTCTCATTTTTGTCTAATTTGCTCTGTCAGATCATATGATTCAACACACCAAGAAACAAAAGCTGGGGGACAATGCTTGCCCCACTATTCCCAAACCCAGGCCAACTAACCTGGGTTAAACACTATATAATAAACACTACTTCAACAGTAGATGGTCGTTCCTTGCCTTCCCACTTCCACTGAAGAGATACAGTTTAGGACTTCTGTGTCACTTCCCATTAGCGGCCCGACCACTCCTGGGGTTTCAGGAACACTGGGAGATACATAAACCATGGATCCCTTCCCCAGAAAAAGCTCCATGAACCCTGGGTCAGGAACCCTTGCTCCAGATAAAGATTTAAAAATGGAAAAACCTTTAAATGTCTCAATTCGCTGGAATCATTTCCACTTGATTTAGATCCAGGCGTGATTGTATCTCGGCACTCTGACCCAGAGATATGTCTGTTACCATGAAACAAAAGAATTGTTTAATTTGAAATCAATCATTTCAGGGTATTCAGGGTATTATCTTTTTCATTTTATTTTATTTTATTATTATTTTTTTAGAATTAGCAAAGTCATTTTATCTTTTTCATTTTAAAGTTAGGTTTTTAAATATGTACATCTGTTAACTGGAAAAAATCACTTGAAAAGGTGTTTTTAACAATAACAAGATTCCAATACAAATGTGACTAAATTAGGTGCTGGGCAGTGACAAAAGTAACAGAGATGAGTAGTAAGCAGGTGACTGCCTCCCCTGTTCCATAATAAGTAACAGCTGGAGTCAAGGCATGAATGTGGGAAAGAATAAGGAAACAGCAGTGTGTAGATTAAACTACATTTCGGGTTGTAAATAGCTCTAAGGGTAAGAACTAGGGTGTAGACCCTCTAATAGGCCTCCACAGTGCCTAGCTCACAGAATATCAGTACAAGCACCAAGAAAATGGCTGGTCTGTTTTTGTTCTTATTTTTTTGGAGTGGAGAAAGTCTCCTCTATTCTTGAGCTAGTAGTTGAAATGAAGATAACCAGAAAATAGTCACCTCATATGACTTTTAGAGCTTAACCTTGACATCCAAAATGCTCTTTAAAATCAATATTCAGTCAAACCTTAAGTATAATAAGCATTTAAGTAGAGAAGACACCAGCTAAAAACATTTTATCTCTAAAGTTTACTGGCAAAATGATTCTGTGCAATCCAGGAGTCATTTCCATTAGAAATAATGTTATTAACAGTGGTTAGAGTTAAAATTCACCAGAAAAACAAAGACCCTTAGCTAAACTGGATTACGAGATTCTCATTTTTCAAACTGAAGGAAGGAGAACACTTCAGATGTGGTGGACAATATTTCATCTCTACCTACCCTGCCCCACTTCTTGAAGCCCTAGGTTCAGAAGCAAATGAGTGAGTTAAATCATTTTTCCTACTAATAGCTGCTTTTTCCTTGAACTAGCCTCAAAGAAAATTGTTTTCAGACTTCCCACCCGCAATGGACACTTACACACACACTAGAGTGTCTTACCAGAGAGGCTACCATAAGTGATTCAATTGTCATGAGTTTTTACTACTGGGCTAGTCTGTGCATTGGAGAAGGAAATGGCAACCCACTCCAGTATTCTTGCCCGGAGAATCCCATGGACGGAGGAGCCTGGTGGGTCCACGTGGTCGCAAAGAGTCGGATACAACTGAGTGACTTCACTTCAGTCTGTGCATAGTCCTGTAAGCTTCATATTAACTTAATACTTTTTCTTCTGTGTTTCCTAACTTTTTAACAGTTGCTTTAATGAACATTTTTAATGAGAGAAAAAGCAAAATAAAGTCATATTTCCTATTCGTTCCTCATTCTAAATAAAAATGTACTTATAACCACTTTTATGTAGTAAGAGACTTTATGATCATTTTGCCATTAGTCTTCAAGCTTTGAAAACAAAAGTTAAAACTCAAACATACCTTTTAGTAAAATGTGGTGCAACTGAAACATCCGTCTTCTCATGGGAATCCGGGCTACTTAGAAGGTTAACTGGGACTCTTCCAAATGGGCATGACTAAAAATGTTTTGGAAGATTAAGTAACTAACTAGGAAATAAGCATAGACGTCACCACTACTGCTTTAATCAAAGTAAAAAATAACTTACCCGTTTAGCCTTGTTTGTTTGTTTCAAGGGATTTCGATAGCCTATCTCTGCATCTTGAGGGGGGATGTTCTCTCTAAAGAGAAAGAAAGAAAAACTGATTTTTAAAAGGATAATGTTGATACAAGCGTTTTCATCAACTGCTAAACACTATTATAATATGAAAACATATATGCAGATGTATAAATAATATAAATGTATGATGAATATTTAAAAAATGAATTTGGTTTCCTTACCCATATAAGAACCGGGCTTTAGTAGTCTGTCCTTTAGAATCACAACTAATGTTCCTATTCTGTAAATGTCCAAGTGTATTGGGAAATGGTTCTTGTGCACTTGATACTGTAGATGCTGTAAACATTTTGAAACTATAATTAAATTTGTAAAGACATAAGGAATACACACACAAAAAAAATCTCATAATACTTAAAAAGTCAATTCATAGTAAATATTTGTCCCTAAATAAGACATTCAGATATGAAGATGTTGTTATGCTAATTCTCCAACTATACTTCATAATTGTTTCATAATTACAGAACCGTTTACCCAGAGTAGAGGCACCTTCCTTATTTCTAATAGCAAAAAGTGATTCACTTGCCTAGCTCAAGTTTGCTTGGTTTGTTATTTATTTGGCTGCCTTGGGTCTTCGTTAAGGCACGCGGGATCCTCACTGCATCATGCAGGACCTTCCCTTGCGGTGCGAGGGCTCCAGAGTACTGAGTACTTGTTGCTTGCAGGCTTAATTGCCCCACAGTATGTGGGGTCTTAACTCCCTAACCAGGGATGGAACCTGGGTCCCCTGCAGTGCAGGGCAGATTTTTAACCACTGGATGACCAGGGGAGTCCCTGTTTGTTTTTTTAATTGAAATACAGTTGATTTACAATGTTGTGTCAGTTTCTGGTGCACAGCAAAGGAATTCAATTATACACACACACACACACACGCACACACACAAATGTATGTATATACCTTTTCATGTTCTTTTCCATTACAGTTTATTGCAGATATTGAATATAGTTCCCTATGCTATACATTAAGACCGTATTGTTTTATTTTAAAGTGTAATTTTTTTTTTTGTAGATGTCAATTTTATTTTTATTTATTTATTTTTTGGCTGTAAACTTTGTGGCATATGGGATCCTAGTTCCCCTACCAGGGATTGAACCTGTATCCCTGCAGTGGAGGCAAAAGTCTCAATCTCCAGACCACCAGGGGAGTCCCAGGACGTTACTGTTTTTACTGAGTTGGTTTAATGTGTTACTAATTAGAGTTTGACTAGGAAAAAAAAAATGCCAAGAAGAGAGTAATGATTTTGCTACTTTTCCAAGTTTCACTGCCTTTGCATCTAAAACTTAATCTTAGATTTTGATCATTCTAAATAAACAATATTTTTCTATAAAATATTATCCTGAATCCCTTTTTTTCCAGGACTAAACATCACAGAAAAGTATTAGCACACACAAACATATTTACCAGATAAGCTCTTCCTTTCCTCCTCTGAAAGCAGCTGCTTTTTCTGAAGGTTTAAATTCCGAATGGCAATTTCCAACATTTCGAGTGGCACTGCTCCGCATTCCACAGCTTTATGAAGAAGTTGCTTACTTTTTTTGAAATTACCTAACATAGTAAAAAATAACAGTCATTTTAATGCAGCAACCTTTACTCCCCAGATGCATATTCTTTAGAACCTAGGAAAAAAGTTTTAAAGTCTCAGGCAAAAATATTTATTCCAAGCTCACACATTTTATTTATAAGCAAATAGGCAATTTCTCACTTATGATAACAATTAATATCAAACAGTTTAACTTGTGTAATATGCAAGTGAAAGGGCTGGTATAACAAATATTTCGTACACTTACACTCAGGTAGCATCCTTCCCTGAATTTTCATCTGATCAACTTTCATGGCTTTTGCCTCATTATTTCTATTTCACACACATGATTTAAGTTACAATAGGAAGTTATCTTTTACTTAAAATTTGGACTTGACATTTTCAGATTACCTTGTGATAGTTCAAACTGTGCAAAAGATATATGCACAAAAGCAAATTTCTTGCAGTTTGCTCTGGCCATTTGGAAGTAGTCACGTGCATCATCTGGCTCTTGAATACTGAAATAAAGATTTCAGAGTCAAGTTTTAAGAAAAAGAACACAGTTGCCTGTTTGATAAACTCCTCATTCTATTTTCCAGAAGACACAAAATACTGTTCTCTGTCTGTAAAATTAAATAAGTTAATTTAAAAATTTTTTTAGGTGGAGTCTAGAGTATGTAATTTTTGTGGAAATATGTACATTGTAAAGAAAGTTTACAAATGCACTTGTTAATTATAAACAAAAAGACTTGGTAAAAAAAAATATTAAACTTCTTACAAGTAGTTCTGACATGTTTTCATTTTACCTTTTGGTGATGTAGTTATGTGTTATGTAATGTAGTTAGCTAAATACAATTAAAATGCTAATACTTACGCTTTTAGTTCAGCAAATCTCACTTGAATCCTAGCAAAACTCTCATTTTGGCCATATTTATCTGGAGGAAGTGCTTCAATTGCTTGGTTGTAACGACCAATCAATTTATTTAAAAGGGCATCATTTAAAGGGACACTGTTTTTCTCCAGTTTGAGCAACAAATTCAACCAGTCCTCTGGGTTGTTTGCCATCATCATAATTTGGTTAACAGTTCCTGAGTTATCTGAATAAGGGGAAAAATATAGCAAAAAAAGAAAGTCATAAAACAAATACCAAATTACACTTTTCTTTCAAATTATAGGTAATCATTTATACTCTCACTACAAATGCACACAAACTCCTTAAAATGTCTTTTAAAACTTTACCAATTCATGTAAATATAAACAATTTATTTACTGCATATATATCTTTTAAGAGGATATATTTTACTGTAAAAAGCTGCATATTTTGAAGAAAAGAGAATTTGGAAATGTTTATAAGTAGCTTTAAAATACCATATGCAATCTAAGAAAACTGTATCCTATAGCAGCATAATTTTATTTTAGTATCCTAACAAGTCAAAGAAAATCTAAGCCTCTCCCACCACTACCAGTACCAACTTTCCTGGAAAATTCTTCATCAATGACTTATTAAAAATTTAGAAACGTATGGTCCTAGTCCTAACATAACCTTCTTTACAACTTTATCCATCCAATATTATCTCCATATTCCTCAATTTACTTTTCAATCAATCAAACAAAACCAGTTTATAAAAGATAAGCAACTCATATGGTCATTTTCTTCTCCCTCCAAGTTACCCACATTTCTCCATAATTTTCACACTGTAATTTATTTTTAATTTTCTTTGGTGTTAATAGATTTTAAAACACAACACATGATTTAATGTCAGTGTCCTGTTCAGGTTACTTTAGTCATTACTAAACATTATTAAGTTTAGATTTTTAAGAGAAACTATCATCCCTTCTATTAGTTTCACTTACCTTCAACGAGGGCTAAATATTTGCTTTTACAAACAAAATTACTGCTTTGCTTTTTACTAAAACATAACAGATTCAGAACTTTGTTTTTACCCATAATCTGTTCTGATCTTAACTTCACTTTCCAGTTTCATTTCCCATCACTTCCCTAACAAATTTGTCTTCAAGTTTTCCAAAAAAGTCTAAAAAAAGGCAGATGTATTTCTCATGCACTGTGCTCTCTTTCTCTGTTCAAAGCTTCCTGTCTCTATCATGTCAGTAGTCATTTGAGCTAAACATGTATTACAATGTAGCATGGTAAATAGGTAAATTGTTCTCATCTAGAAACCAGGTTTAACCTTACTCAGTATTATAATGTCTTACATCCCACTCATCAACATGTTAGATATTCACAAGGATTTTGAGCAAGCTAAGGATTTTAAATAAGGACTCATCTACCCTGTTGTAAATAAGCTTTATTGTTAAGTCATGTCCGACTCTTTAGTGATCCCCATGGACTGTAGTCCACCTGGCTCCTCTATCCATGGGATTTCCAGGCAAGAATACTGGAGTGGGTTGCCATTTGCTTCTCTAGAGGATCTTTCTGACCCAGGGATCGAACTGATGACTCCTGCATTGGCAGGTGGATTCTTTACCACTGAGTCACCAGGGAAGCCATAACCTTCACTGGTGCTACTTAAAAATACAAAAGAAAGTATGTGTTTATTCTATCACCATTAAAAAATTTGCTTAACACCAAAATGATGTTTCTAAGTTGTTTCAAGGAATATGACCTGCCATCATGACTATTTATATGGATAAGTTCTTCTCTTTGCTTTCCAATCCCTCATCCATTTAATGGTTAGTATAGATAAAACTTACCTAAAGGCAACTTTTTCAACAACCTAAAATAAAGAGTTCAGCTTCTGAGCTAATACTTTTCATAAAACTAGAACATTAATCTCTGGGTATTTTCATTCATTCATCATTCAAAAAATATTTAAGTACCCACTAGTTGCCAGGAACCATTCTTAGTTCTGTAGATAGAGCACCACAGATAAAAACCATGCCCTCATGGAACTCACATCCTAGTGGAGTAGACAGACAACAAACACATGAGTAAAGGAGAAATGACAAGAACTTGGGCAAACTCTAGGAGATGGTGAGGGACAGGCAAGCCTGGCGTGCTGCAGTCCACAGGGTAGTGAAGAATTGAACGTGACTTGGTGACCAAACAACAACAAAGGAGATATGAGGTGATTACTGCCGTGGAGAAAAATAATACAGCAGGTTGCTATTTTAAATAGGTAGGTTAGGACCTACCGTATAGCATAGGGAATTCTTTGCTCAATCTGCAGCCTGGATGGGAGGGGAGTTTGGGAGAGAATGGATGCATGTATATGTGTGGCTAAGCCCGTTTGCGGTCCACCTGAAACTATCACAACATTGTTAATCAGCTATACCTCAATTCAAAATAAAAAGTTTAATTAAATAAATGGATTAGAGAGGGCCCTGCTGAAAAGACATTTGAGCAAAAACCTGAAGAAGGTATGAGTGGGCAGAGAGTAAGAACAAAGGTACTGGGGTAGGGGTTGGTCCGACACACAGGAGACACAGCAGGGAAGTTGCTACGGCTAAAACAGAATGAGCAAAGAAGAACAGGAAAGAGAGGCTGGGAGAGTAACAGAAAGGTTCTTCACATCATATATTGTGTGGTTAGTGTTTTATTAAGATTAGTGAGGCTTTCTCAGATTGCACAAAATATGGGGGGTGGGGGAGGAGAACCTACCAAGCATATCAGCAGAAATGACAGCTGCCAATAATGGAAGTTAAGAAAACCACCTTTCAGCACACTGTAATAGCATTAAGTTTCCTTTTTTAAGAAAGTGGAAAATTGTGGAACTATTTTCACACAAAAGGATTAAAACATAAAATGTGGTCTCATTGGCGAGCGTCAGTTAACATTTCCTTCCTCTACCTCAGAGGGTACTCAAAACAACACAACTCACCTGTAGTATCAGTGGAGGCTTTATTCAAGCTTAGCTCGTCAGTAAGATCTTCATTTTTAAATTTATTTTTAATATCTCTCACCATGTTCATTATGGAATCAATTGTCAACTCTCTGCCACTTAACTCCTCAGCCTCCATTTCTAAGGGAAAAAAAAAACAAAAACGAGCTATTCATAATGCCTACTTTTACTAGCATTAAAGGGAAAAAAAATGTTGCAACTAGCCGTTTAGAACCCAGGAGACTAAAACAGTTATATGAATACATCTCAAGACAGATATTATCAGGGTGGTACTTGTGAAGCTATGTGCACAAAAACAATTGCATGTCTTTGTCATCTGTCCAGCAAGGTTTCCAACAGGTAAGTATTCAGTACACTCCTTTCCACCAGAACTTCAAAAAGGCATTGCACAAAAGGGAAATTGCTGCCCCCTTTCAAACTTTCTGCTATGCCTTCCTTTCACTCTTTTTCCAGAATTATTTTCTCTGGGCCATTTGCAAATTCAGTCTTTTTATTTTTATTTTTTTTTAATGTGAAGTATATTTGCTTGGATTCTGGTAGAAACACATTGGCATAAAAAAATCCTTTCGATAATGATAAAAACCATTCCTTTATTCACCTGCTTTATGTCAGTAAACCTGCACGTTGCAAGTGGTTACAAAGCAGAATACATACAACATCACAGCCCTTTATTCACAAATGGGATTATCAGCAGGCTTATTCTTCTGTATATCTGGCAGAAAGGTGATGTGCTACCTTAATCATTCCCATACCAAGAATCTACGGTATTTTTACAGTACTGAGTGCTTGCTCCTTCTCCACGGTGTTGATGTTTGTTTAGTCCACAAAGGGTCCGCAATCTTTCTTCCCATCAATGTCATCTTTGTGATGATTCTCACACCCATCAATCCAGTAAACCAGGGTCACTGATATCAATGCCGCCCCCGACCTCGAGTATAGTTAATGAAAAGGAGCGACAAAGCGGGTGCCTCGTATCACCCCTTGAAGCCAGGTTCTAAAGGTAACTGTCAGAACCACGGCCACCGGCTCCTCTCCCGGTTCTAAAACACCACAGAAGAGGAGGAGTCTCCCGCAGAGGCCCTGGCAGGCCCCTTCTCCCAGCCAAGTCCATAAACCTACCTCTCGCCTCCCGGGTCCTCGACAAATAAACCCCCGGCACTAACAGGAGGACCGGCGCGGGCAGCGGGCCCGCCCCTCCCCCTCCGGCCTGTGAGCCGCACCCCACGCCCTCTGCCAGGCTCGGGGACCTCCCGCCTCGTCCCCACCGCTCACCGGCCCGCGCGGCTCGGCTCAAGGGCCCACACACCCCGGCCGCCTCCGCCCCTCCGTTCGCCGCCAAGGTAGGACTCTCCGCGGAAAAGCGGAGCTGAGAAGAAAAGATGGAAACTCCAGCCCCTCTCCGCACACACGTTTGAATTTCCCCGCCGCTACCGACGCGGTCACCTATTGGCCAGTGCTGTCCACGTGGAAGCGTCTGCTGTGATTGGTTGGTGCTCGCCGGCACCGCCCCTTTTTCTGCGACCGGACCGTCCCTTGCGGCGGGGGTCTTCCGTTCTGATTCTACCGGCTCCGCGCCCCGGAAGTTCGAGGCGCCGATAGACCAGCTTTCTGGCACCTTCCGGTTTAAAAACCAGGCCAGGGTTTTGCCCCAGGAGGAGAGACTCCCGGGCCGTTAGCCGGTGAGAGGGAGATAGGCGCGCGCCGACGCTGCTTTCAGCATCAGGACGTTAAAGGTGCCTGGTGAGTCGGCCTTTTTCCGCCCCCTCTGCCGCCTCACTTATTGGCCCTTCAGGGTCCTCGGTGCCGGAGGATGTGGTAAGGGAGGGTTGTTTGCAATGCCTTCAGCCCTGCCGCCAGCTCAAAAGTCTCAGTGCTTTTTGTCCTTGAGTTTCCACCAACCTTAGACCTTCCACTATCCTTAAATGACGCTTTGCCTTGTCTTTAAGCCGAGGTCCTCCCATTTTGTCAGAATTCAGCGCAGAACATACACGCCCATCGAGAGTCTACGCTTGAACTCGCCTGATCAGCCTCCCTTCCTCCCTCCGAGCCTGTGCCACTTTAGAGCTCAAGTGCCCTCCGGGAAAGGCCACCTCCCTTCTCATCTCCGCGAGGGCTGGCTTGGCTGCTAAGTGTCTTTGCGGTAGGAGGCTATGCTGTCTCTGGAAACGAGACGCCTGTTGTACCAGCAGAATGACATATGCTCTGTGGTAGGAGAAGTTGGTCGGTTTTGTGTACGTGTAGGAAACTTAACTGCAGCTGTCCGTTGTTAACTCCAAAGCTTGTCTTTTGAACCCTCGCGTTCCCAGCTCTTGACTAGCCACCCGGCCAGCCTGAAAGCCCTTCCTTACTGAGTACGTTTTTTAATACCTTCTGGCTCTGTATTTTTGTTTCATCAGAGCAAAATGATTTACTGTGTATGGTTGGCTCATGCCTGCCTTTGCATTGTTGAGTCCGGCACCTGCTTTTGCTGCTGCTGCTGCTGCTGCTGTTGCAGGAAAAAGCCAGTCTGTTGGAACTGTTTCTTTGACTTGCTTTTCCTTGCTTTTGTTATTATAATCATACATAATGGCTTACCTCAGAGAATCGAGACCTTCTGCATGTTATAGTGCCTTTGTTCAGAGACCTGTCCACCTCTAGATGGCAGGAAGGAGGAACATATACCCTGCCATTTTAGGAGATAGCTGCAAGATTAATGGCCTTTGTATTTTATTTCCTCACCTCCCCCTGCCCCCCATCTCTGATCAATAAAAGAACCTGGCATCCAAACCCCAGCAAGCCGGTTATTTTGAGACATTAGCCTGCCATCTTCTCAGTCAGTCAGCTCTCAGAATAAAGTTGTATTCCTTGTCTCATCCCCCTCATCTGCAATTCATTGGCCTGTTGTAAAGCGAGCAGAGTGAGCGTAGACAAGATAACTTGTTTAGTCCCTAAGTCGTGTCTTATTCTTTTACGACCCCACAGACTGTAGCCTGCAAGGCTCCTCTGTCCATGGGATTTCCCAGGCAAGAATGATGGAGTGGGTTGCAGTTTCCTTCTCCAGGGGAATCTTCCCAACCCTGAGATCCTACCTCCTGCTTGGCAGGGAGATTCTTTACCACTGAGCCACCAATTTCTGTTGAGCTGTTGGGCGCAATCCCAAAACTTGCATTTTTCTGAAAATACTACTGCTAACACTTTACAGCGATAGCCTCCACTCTTACATTTTAAAATACCATCTACGCATTAATGACTCCCAAATATATTACTCCAGCTGACCTCTCTCCCCTGAACCCCAGACATATCCACTGCCTACCTAACATGTCCATGTAAAGTAGATATTATAGATATTTTAAAACTCAAATTTTTCAAAATAGCCCCTGATATCCCCACTCTCAATCTGCTTCTTACAAAATCTTCTCTGTAAAAGACATTCATAATTTTTTTTTAAGCCCAAAACTGGTGTCATTCCTAATCCCACAAGCAGATTGTGTGAGGTCTAACAAGGTAATGTTGGAATCCTACCACTTTTCTCCACCTCCACTACTATTGCCCTAGTCTGAGGCACCTTCACTACTCACCTGGTTATGGTAGTAGCTTCCTGGCTGGTCTCCTTGCTTCTGCCCTCACTTCAGTTTGTTCTCCTGCAGAACAGTCAACTTCAGTGAGATCACATCACTCCTTTGCTGGGCTTCCCTGGTGGCTTAGACGGTAAAGAATCTGTCTGCAATGCAGACACCCAGATTTGATCTGTGGGTCAGGAAGATCCCCTGGAGGAGAGCATGGCTACCCACTCCATTTTTCTTGCCTGGAGAATTCCATGAACAGAAGAGCCTGGTGGGCTATAGTCCATGGGCTCGCAAAGAGTTGGACACAACTGGGTGACTAACACTTCCACTTCAGAGCTCAGAATAAATGTCAAAAGTCCTTACAACGGTCTAGAGCTGCACTGTTAATATAGTAGCCATTAGCCACATAGGGCAATTAAGCCCTTGAAATATGGCTATTACAACTGAGGAACTAAATTTCTTAATTAATTAATTTAAAAACTGATAGTGCAATTATTGGAAGAATTTTAAGTGTATTGGAACAACCAGAGAACGTCAGTCTACTTTTTTTTTCAACTATAAATTTTGTGAGCTCTCAATTCAGATGAAGTACTTCCAAAGAGACTTTAATTTGTGCTGTGAGTATACACACTAGATTTTGAAGATTTAGTATGAAAAAATAATGTAATAGATAATTTTAAAAATATTGATCATAGTTTGAAATGGTATTTTGATATATTGTCTTAAAATATATTGTTAAAATTAATATTCCCAGTCGCAGACCAGAGGACACTAAGAAGATTTGCCAGATAAAAGCAAGATAGTGTTATGGATTGGATCCTGGAACAAAAAGTGGACATGAATGGAAAAACTGATGGCATTCAAGTAATAAGTAACTAAGGTTTAATTAATAGTAATGTGCCAGTGTTGGTTTCTTAATTTTGACATAGGTACAACAATATATAAGATCTTGAAATAGAGGCATGTACGTCAATTCTCTGCACTACCTTTACAACTTCTGTGTAATCAAAAATTACTCCAAAATAAAAATTCTTAAAATTTGGAATTTTCAAAGGAAAGGAGGGAGAACTTAAGAATATATTTGAAGGCACTATGGCCCCAAATTGTTCAAATACAGTAAAGGCTATAAACCAGCAGATCGAAGAAGCTCAACAAATCCCGAGCACAAGAAACTTAATAAAAGTTGCATGTAGGCACATGATTAAATTGCTCAAAACTAGTGACAAAGTCTTAAAAAACAACCAGAGATTTCTCATACAAAAGAAGAATGATAAAGCTAATAGAATACTCCTTATCAAAAACAACATAAACCCAAAGACAATGGAGCAATATCTTTAAGATCAAACAAACCTGAGATACATGGCAGATTTGACTCCACACTGCTGCAATAAAGCAAATATTGCAATAAAGTGAGTCACATAATTTTTTTATTCTCAGTGCATACAAAACACACAAACTATTAAAAGTGGAATAGCATTATGTCTAAAATACGTACATCCCTTAATTAAAATACTTTATTGCTGAAGGTACTAACAATCGTCTGAGCCTTCAAAAAATCATAACCTTTTTGCTG